CATGAACTTTCACTCGCAACCTCCCTTGAAATAGACCCGTGAAACATGGTTCCAGAAACGTCTCAACTGGACGTTACAGTACCTTTTGCGTTGTGCATAACTAAATTGTGTTTAATGTCATTTTGCTTTTTGTACATTGCTCATTACTAATTGCACCAAGCGTAACCGCTACAAGTGAAAACCGGTATCGCAAAAACTGGCATTGTTTTTCAGATGATTCTTCACTACCGTAAGCAGAACGACAAAGAAAGGCAGCGATCACCACAGAAGGATCAGCATGATAATAAGACATGGCAGTGGTTTCAGACATCCATCCTGTGACCCAGCGATGGAGACGATTCGGAGGATAGTAACCTGTTGCGTAATAATCCGATGGACTGCAGCCTATTGCTGAACTAATTGAAGCCACCGCTGAAAGGGGAGGTCTTTAGGGCAGTTAAGTTAAAATCAAATTCGATAATAATATTCTGTTCGATGGAAATCGTGCCTCATGTATCAATGGTATACAAAATCAAACACAAGAACCAGGGATAAGTGTCGAACATCGACTGCACGGGTTCCATCAGCATCTGACATTCTGAAGTTTAGATCAAATTACGACTGACAGAGCATCAGTCTCATGACGATAAACAGGAAATTCCTGTCCTCTGCCATGTCGGTTAGTGATTCGTTTAGGTGGTTTCGAGAAGCAGTCCGAATATCCATGAGCCTTCCTTGCAAAAGGACCATTCGGAGAGGTTCGACAAGCAGCTGTCTTTGGGACCCAGCAGCCATAGCGGATATGGGGAGGGTTTGAAGCGGATGATATCCACAAGTGACAGTTCGCTTTTATGTATATACATATTGCAATCGGTGAAATAACTGTAGTTTTCGTGGTAATAGATACGAAAGAAGTAGCAAACCGGGCAAACGAACGTTTACAACGCAGGCAATCGCGCTAATGCGCGGACTGCGATTTTGCCACTGCTTAAAATAGGCAAAAATTGCAATCCGCCATCAAATTAGCACACCTCCAAACGAGGAACGAAGCAGCTGGTTCAGGAT